AAATCATAACAATAACAATAATAACATAATAGTGCTGATGCTTATGCTACATTTGGAGCTTGAAATGATCAGCGACATTTCCCCTGATGAGGTTAAACAGCCTGGCTCAGGGACCGCGCATTTGCATAATAAAGATCAGAAGTCACTGCCTTCTACATCTCTCCCAGCACTGGCCGCCTGGTGTCCTTGATTCAGGGACACCACATCCTAATGTACTTCCATATGCGGCCCTGTGCAGTGATTCTAATCTTTGGCTTGCATGTGAAATGTCAGCTTTTCTTTTTTTCATCTGGGAGAACAACAAATTATGTTTTTAAATGAGAAGGTGCGGCCTGTAATGGATAATATAATCTGAAAATGCAGAGGCAATATCTGTGACCCATGGTGCTGACCTAGCAAGCTCTAGTCTATTTTTCCTGCCTATCAGTTGATAGAAAAATATCACTTTCAATATAATAATTAATCATTAGTCAAAATGGATATCCCCATTGGTTCCTTGCCTCTCAGACAACCCTGCATAGCTTGACAATAAATCAGGGAAATACAGTCTTTAATATCCAATGGAATGTATTTCCAGGCACCCTCTTTCCTATATAAAGCAGCAAAACACTTTGCAGAAACCATCTATCATCAGCTGAGGGGGAAGATGCTCCCAAGCTGCCATTTGAAGGAAGGAAAATGCAGAGCCCACAGAAAGGGAGGCAGTGAGTTCCAGACGGTGACTGTAAACCAATGAGAAACATCTTCTTGCCATGGCGGGCTCCTGCCTTGGAAAGAGACAGCCCGCCCTCCTTTGCTGTGTCTCCTCCCTTCTGCCCGCTCCTGGGGCCCTGTCATAGACTGGCAGGTCATGCCCAGGCCTCACTCACTATGACTGACCAGTCCCCCATGTCCTATCATCCTCCCCATTCCCATGGCAGCTGTAAAGTAATCATTCCAGGCCATTTTTCTGCTTGATTCCTGGCTCTCTCTGGATCCGTTGAAATATTTACAATACCTAACATGCTCCAAGAAAATAAATGAGCTGCCAAATATGGTGGAAGGAAAAGCAGACTTGGAAGTCAGGGTAGGTTACAGGAACCTGAGGACTCCGTTAGATTGACTTGTTGTTGGGCTGACCTCTCCGTGGCCTTGTTCTTCTCATCTGAAAAAGCAGGTGTTGTGCATGGTTTTCAATCTCTGTTTGTTGGAATCCTGAGTTTCTGAGGCAATGCAACACTGTGAGGCAAGAGAAAGGCTGGGAGAAGGAAAGAGGAGGGAAAGATATCCCCAAACTTCCCCTGGAGCATTCAGCTTTTATTGATTTACTGATTCGATTTTTAAAAGCCACTGAGTCAGAAGAACTTGAAAGGCACTCCAGTTCGTAAACCCTGAAGTTCTCTAGCTCAGTACTGCCCACTCCATCCCTGGGTGTGGACATCATGTGGGAAATGCCACTTCAGCTTGGGGCCTATCGTCACATGTCTTATTTCCTAGACCAATGGTTCCCCAACGGGGTGATTTTGCCCACAAGAGGACATGTGGCAATGTCTAGAGACATTTTTGGTTTGACAACTGGGGAGAAGCGAGCTACAGGCATTGAGTAGAGGCCAGGGATGCTGCTAAACATCCTTACAGTACACAGGACGGCCCCCCAAAATAAGCAATATCCATCCCCAGATGGTGATAGCATGGAGGCTGGGAAACCCTGCCCCAGGTGATGTAACCTGAAGAAAAGCTGCTCACAGGGGAGCTTCTGAGTTGGAAAGACTCCGCTCAGCTTTCCTTCTGCCCTAGCACAGATCTAGAGGGAAGTCTATTCTTGGTTCCTCCCTGCAGAGAACTCCCTGGAGCCTTGGATCTGAGAAACAAGAACATTTCCTGCACTGAGGACAGTCCTCCATAGAACTCTTTTTAATTCACTTCTAGAAGGGAAACTTACATTGCCTGATTCCAAAGTGCTCTGGAGCTGATCCAGGTGCCATATATTCAACTTTAATCTGCACTAAGAGCTGGTAATAGTAACACAGGTATTGAACTTTTCACTTACAAATGTAACACAGAACTACTGATTACTTACTACGTACTAGGAGTAGTGGACTTGAAGCTACGTACTAGGAATATAGCAGTGAACAAAACAAAGTCCTTGCCTTTATAACGCATCTGTGTCTGGGGAAGGCAGAAAATAAACACAGATAAATATACGACTCAAGTGGTTATAGGTGTTATCAACATTATTAAACAGAGTAGGAGCATAGGTTGATTAGAGCTTGCAATGATCAGGAGAAAGCTTTCTGCTGAGGCAGCACTGGAAGAAGTTCTGAAGGCTTGTGGGTGCCTGAGGAAATAAGGTTCTGGACAACAGGAGAGCCAGCGAGCTGCACAGAGCTGCCCGGAGTACTCAGGGCAGCACAATGAACACGTGGGTAGAGGGCGGTGTCAGAGGGCCAAGACGGCCCAATCAGATGTCCATATTTCATTCTGAGAAAGATGGAAAACCATTAAAGAATTCAGAGACAGTGACATGAACTGATTTATGTTTTGAAAGCAAAAAAACTCTGGATCACATCTGACAGAGTATAGTTATCCTGGTGGCCCCAACCATCATGGGTAGAATAGGCATCTCAAAATGCTCCCATTTTCTTTTCACATTTAAAGAACAGAATAAAACAAACAAAACACTAGTCTTACTTTTATCACAAAGGCGCTTCTTATATGCTAAACCAGGAGCCAGAGATGACCAGCCCCTGTTCTGCACCTCGCCAGGGCAGATAGAGCAGAGTGCTCAGAATACTGTGAGAAGTCTGGAGACATTCTCAAGTTTAATAAACCAAATTAATGCAAATTAATTTCACTTGAATAAAAGAAGTTTCTTGCCACTTTTAGAAGAGGGATAGGCTGCAGCAAAATGAAGTCAGAACACACAGTCTGTGTCCCAGAAAAGCTATGATAGTTCAATACTGGAAATCCGAGACAGGGAGAGGGGATGGTCATCGTCTGAAATTTATTTATAAATTGCCAGTGCACGGGCCAGGCACGGTGGCTCAAGCCTGTAATCCCAGCACTTTGGGAGGCCGAGGTGGGTGGATCACGAGGTTAAGAGATCGAGACCATCCTGGTCAAAATGGTGAAACCCCTTCTCTACTAAAAATACAAAAAATTAGCTGGGCATGGTGGCGCGTGCCTGTGATCCCAGCTACTCGGGAGGCTGAGGCAGGAGAATTGCCTGAACCCAGGAGGCAGAGGTTGTGGTGAGCCGAGATCGTGCCATTGCACTCCAGTCTGGGTAACAAGAGTGAAACTCCGTCTCAATTAAAAAAAAAAAAATTGCCAGTGTTTCCTAGACAACTTTCAATAAAATGTGACACACTTCTAAATATTTACTAGCTTGCTGACCTGTTTTTCTTTTTCTTTTCTTTTCTTTTTTCTTTTTTTTTTTTTTTTTTTTTTTTTTTTTTTTTTTTTTTGCTAATTAGATTTTTTTAAAAGGAAAACAGTGTAACAGCAAGTTAATGCAGATAGCCTCAAGCTGGGACAGCCAGTCAAGCTACAGTCAGATATTGTTGTGCTTTACTAAAATTGTATCTATGGGAGAAAATTAATTGGAAATATCAGAAATGGTCTCTGTAAAAAGATTAAGGCTACCCCACCCCATGGTATGTAGTTATTAAATTAGCACAATCGATATAAAAGTTTTGTTTAAAATATAAAGAGTTTTCAGGAATTACTTATCCATTGTTTTCCCTCAAATGTGAGTTTAGCTCCATACTTTCTTTCCTCCAAGAAGAGGTTGGCTGAGCAATTTTGTAGCTATTCCTTCAAGACAAAAAAGCTATTTTAACATGGTATATTTGAGTCCTTCCCTGCCCCCCAACCTTTTTTAAAAAAACTTTTTATAGCTCTGTGCTTTAGTAAGAGACTTCAGGTTAAGTTAACACTTCTAGTCATTCCCCTCCGGGGCTTCTATGAAGCTTAGAGGGCCTTCAAGATCACAGTAGTGGAGGATGCTTATGTAGTTTGAATATAGGCCTATGGACTCCAGCTGCCCTGGCCAAAGAAGAGTCTAGTCAGAACGCTGCAGCAAAAAAATACCTGATACATGGTAGGAACTGTAGCCAATGGCTCCGGTGACAATTTGTGTGGCCTTCAAGTGGCTGGGCCAGGGAAGTGAGGTGGGAAGGTTGCTTCAAGAGGAGAAGCTGTCATAGAAAGAAAGTGATGTTTTTTCATGATCACAGAATTTCTCTAAATGGGCTAGATGTAAAGACAGTGTTGCAGCTTCAGGATGACATTAATGACAATGGCATGTCAGTTTAGTTATGGAAAGCTAAATATTGTGTATGCATTCAATCTTTATATCAACCAAAAGACCTGAATAAGCTTGTGATGTACTTTTCTCTGATGAGAAAGATGATGCTTGGAGATTTGGCTAACCTTTCTGCATCACTTTACTATTTTGTATAAACTGGAAGTCCAGCTGGAGAAGAGAAAACACCTGATCCTGAAATCTGGAGGCTCCTCTCACCTCCCTAATCTCCCAGGGATGAATGGCATCTCTTCAGGTCTCACACAATCCCCCCAGGGCAGGTCAGCAGTCTAAGCAGAAGGGAAAGTGAATTAAAGATGACTGCAAATCCTCTGTCACTTCCCCCAACAAAAGTGAAATCTATTCCCCTTCCTTTTGAATAATGCAGGTTGGTCCTGTGACTCACTGTGACCACTTCCAAGGTTAGGTCTTAAGAGATATGCAGCTTCTGGTTTTGTGTGCTTGGCATACTTCTTGGAACTCAGGCACGATGGCATAAGAAGGCAAAAAGAACAGCACCAAATTGCTTCCCACATTTTTCAGCAGCCCCATTTGAGCCCTTAGACGGCAGCCAACACCAACTGCAGGCCATGTGAGGGAGTCAACTAGGCTGTCCCAGCCCATTCAATAACACCAAGAACAGAAGAACTGCCCAGCTGAGCCCAGGCAACCCCAGAATCATGAAAGATGATAAAAGGTGGTGGTGGTGGTGATTTTATTTTCAGCCACTAAGTTTGGAGGTAATTTGTTCACACCAATAGATAAACAAAACAGTCTGTTTACATAGGAAAATTCTTAGACAGAAAAGATCTCAAAAGTATTGTATACATGGTGCTGGCTCTGATGTGATGTGGCCAGATGAGAGCTCTCCAGTAATGGGGTCCCTTGTTTGCTTCTTGAGGAGGACATCTTTTAGAGGGCTAGGCATGCAGAAGGGATATCTGTGGCCTTATTAGAGTACAGCACATTTCTTTCTTTCTGTAGCATTCCTAGATCACTTCTATTCATGAAAATACAAATTGCCTAGGTCTCCATGCATCTAATGATTGAAGCCAGGGAACAGAGCTATCTAGCCCAGAATTTAGAGGAGAGAGTCTTGGAATTGATGACCAATGGGATAAAGAGGGGTGTGGAAAAAGCAGAAGCTGTCTCTTTCCTGAACACCCAATTTTTAAAAATTGTTGAATTGAGGTGTAAGGAAAGCCTCATTTTCCTTGGAAAGTTACTGAACTTATTTCTCACTAAATTTTTGTGAGAATTAAATGTGAAGATATGTGCAGACTTCTTAGCACAGTTCCTATATGAATTGAGTGTTTAATAAGCAAATATCCTTTCTGAATTTGTAGTGGTTTCTGTTTCTGCATTAAAACGAATGGTGACTTTATAATAAAATGAATGGTGCATTAAAATGAATGGTGACCCTATAATAGGTTTCATTCTGAAGAGGCAGCTAATTCTAATGTGTTATATTAGGGGAACATAATTAAGAGTTATATTCAGATCTGTTGTTTTGACCCCAGATAGTATCTGTGGAACCACTGTTAAATCAAAGCAATCTTCATAAGGTTATGAGATCAGATAGATGACCTTCGCCCATGAAGCTTTCTTCCTGACATTCCCTGAAAAGACAAGTAAAGACTGTTCTTCAAACTGTGCTGATATAATAATGTTTTTCAGCCTGGCCTTTGGCAAAAGGCAATATGTCTGCTAGCTGTTGGAATACACAAATCTTTCCATCAGGTGTAAATGGATGGGAGGTCTCAGATACATTTACACCTGATGAAGAGGCTTGCTTACCCCACTCTGGTGCTTATGGCCTGTGTAACATGCATATGTTTTCCTAAAGATGTGTTCAATCAAGCTCTCAAAAGCTTTCCTGACTTTGGATCCATTTCCGTGGTGGATTTGCCAGGCTGCTGAGTTGCCAAGAAGACCAAATACCCTTGCATTCTCCTAGTCATCCAAATTAGAACTCTGGCAAGTTTTTGAATTCTAGTTTTGAAAAGAAAACTTCTTTGGGGGGTGGTTTAGGGAGACAAAGTGAGAACTGCAGTTCTTTTTCTTACAGGAGACACAACCCGACATTACTTTTTTTCCAAAGGGTTAGAAGAGATGAGGCTGAGACACGAAGGAGGGACAGAATTTCTATTTCTATGGCTTCCTTAAGGCAACAGAGGAAGCTTAGCAGCCACAGGGGTCTAGTTAATGAGGAGGTTATACAATATTCATTGTGTTGAGTTTAACTCTTCAAACAGAACCTCTAATTGTAAAAAGAAAAAAAGAAGCTCAATTACAGATGTGAAGACAACAAAGCTTGGGAATAACTCCCTCTGTAGATAAAACTGTCCTCTCCCGGATTCCTCCACTAACTGCACATTGACGGGGGCAGAATGAGTCCCTGTCCTCATCAGGTATTCTCATTAGCTCTGCTCTGTCTGGGACACTCTCCAGGGCCCAAGGAGGGCCATTGACAGGTCTGGGATGACAGTCTTCTCAGAGGACTGTTTTCTTGCTACCCACAGAAGGAGTGATCCAATTGTACTCTGCTTGAACCAAAACAAAACTGTTCTCCCCAATCTTCCTGACATGCACAGTCTCACCACTGTCACTCCTGGCAACAGCATCTGAAGCCGGCTCACTGAAGGACACTTCTGTCCGCTGGTGGCAATATTGGGTATGCAGGTAGCGAAAGCCAGCAGCCAGGGCCATGCCCAGGGTGGCTGACAGGCAAAGCAGAATTCCCAGCTGGGGAGTTCTGAGCTGGAATCCCAGAGGGGCCTGGGCTCTCTCTAGCCTAGCGTCAGACCGTGAGTTGGTCTGCCAAGGGTATCCCACTCCACCCTCTCCATCTCCCTTCCCTGCTCTGGGGTCCTTGTGCTTTGACTGAGGTAAGAAGCTGGCAGACGGCCTGGATGCCTCTGACCGGTCACCAGAAGCAGGTAGCCCAGAAGTGTCAGAGGTCTGGAGGACAGGCGTTGGGTTGCTTGCCCCAGCCCCACTCCCTGTGAAAGTTTCAGAGGACGAGAGGCGCTGGGGATGGGTAAGCTGGATGGTGTACAGAGGAGGCCGTGTCATGGTCCTGTTAGAAGCCTTCACCTTGTCCTAGAAAAACAAAGGATAAAAAGAGTCAAAGGGACTGGTCTTCCTCCTAAGCCACCAATGAACTTTGTAACTAACTGGGATTCCTTAAAGACTCCCAGGTGGCCGCTGAAAACCTGATCTCTTGCTTGCTACCAAAAGAGCTCAGAGTAAAATACCCGACTAGATGCATATGCCCTTGTTATTAATGGGGATTGGGTGGCTAATGGAAACCCCCCAGGGAACAAGGAAGCCAGTTACAAGAACAAGATCAGGGTCCTTTAAGAGGCTTCCAAACCAAAATATCAACGTGTGATTGCATCATCTTCTATGGCTAAAAGCTTTGAACGTGCCTTTTATGATAGGATCCATGGAAGAAGGATCTTATCAATTTAACCCTACTGTAGGTTCTGATAAAAGAAAGTAAGAATATGACACCATGTTTTATTTTGTGTTACTTTGAAGACTTCACAGGAATAGTAAATCAGTGGGCATTTATATTTTATATTGCCCATTGATCTAAATTTGGGGACCATATGTGGCCTTTTGAGGTCAATGTTATGAAGGAGGGATTGAGGAGGAGAGACGAGAGTAATTATTAACTATGGCTAAGTGAAAAGACAAATCACTAAAACATCAACTTTTACAATTGCTGATAACTTCAGACACAGTGCATATAATGGAAAGGTATTGATTAGTAGAAAGACACTGTATATATATGATACTTTGCCTTTTTCTCTCTAACTTTGGCTGCTAGTCTAATAGCTCTGCTTTCTCAGCCTGAAACAGGCCAGTCTGGGATCAAAATACCAATCGCAAGCCCTGTTCACAGTTCAGGCTCTTACCTGTTCACCCCCATCTGAGGACAGGCAAGTTTCCAATGAATCAAAGCTGGGATCATCCTGAGTTCTAAAGGAAAGAATGGAAGGTCTGAAAACAAGTCATTAAGTTTTGGACCAAAAAGCCATGTTTTCTACGACTGTCATGTACATAGATGGCATCAGATTCACTTGAAAAACTTCTGAGTTTCGAGTTGGGAACCACAGGGAAGAGGAAGGGGAGAAATGAGTGAGAATGGTGGCAAAGAACTCACCAAATGCTATCGCTTATTATTTCATATAAAATATATGTTTCTATATTATGTGATTATAAATACATTTAAAATATAAAAAGTCACAGTTTAGGTTTTATTTTATTTATAACAGCATCTCAGAGATCTCAGCCCATCCAAGAGAATAATTTCCCTGGGTAATTATCATACCCAGTCCTTCTGACCACTAACCCTTCTACATTCTGGGTTTTTCACATACTTAAGAATAAATAAGAGATCTCTTTTGTCAGACTCCAAATGCAGCACTCCAGCATTCAGCCTCATCCCACCACCTGCCCGAATGGCCTACCCATCACCCTTACCTATGATGGGCGCTAAGGCTGGAAGCAAAGCCCTCTGAGGAGACTCTCCTGAGGGCCACAAGCCTCTCCAGCCTGTGGACCTCCAGAGATGGCTCTAGGGTCGGATTGCTGTCCCCGCTGAGTTGCTGGTCGATGCTGCCTTCAGTGGCTGTGTGTGAAGACGGTTGGGACAGAGTCTTTGTATCCCCAGGAAACTTTGTCACCCAAATACTGGCAGGAACAGGATCTAGGTTATCTTCCTCTGCAGCTCCAGAAAGGGCAACAGCAAAGACATGTGTGTGCTGCTGTGGAAGAGTGATGGGGGCCCTGGGAGCTAAGCAGAGGTCCAAAGACAGCACAGAGTGAGTGAGAGTGTTTTCCCCGTATCGATTGGTACAAATAGCTACAATCGGGGTAAACAGCAGTGACTCTAATGTGCCCCAAGGAGAGACCATTAAGTGTGAGGCACTTAAAAGTGTCAGCATAAAGATGACCTGCCTGATCATACAAGCCCCTGACCACGCAAGGGCTTATATCTTTTTAGAGAGTGAGTCCCTGCCCTTTCTGGGCTTGTACCTTCTCAACAGCCACCATTCAGGGAACACAGAAAGCACTGTGACCACCGTATTTATTTTATCTCTGCCAAAAACTGCTTCAGGCTGGGAGAATAAAAAGTGGAATCCCACAAATCAGATTTTTCAAAGCCCTAGATCTTTCTTGCCCTATTATTAACACCCAAGGTTTCTTTCCCTGGTGATAATGACTTGAACATCTGCTATGGGCAGAGATGAGATCACTGCCCTCCCCTGCCCTTCACCATCTCATTTCCCATTTGTGACTGGCTAACATGACAGCCCAGAGCATGAGAAAAGAGCTTCACACAGAGCAGCAAGCAAGCAAGTGCAGGATTTAGAGTCAGATTCTTGTCTGGGTTCAGTTCTCCACTCTGCTAATTCCTGGCTTTGGAGAAATCCTCCTAGAGCATTAACTTCTGCTTTTGCAAAATGAGGCCAGCATAGAATTACTGAGGGGGTGACATGAACTAATTGACGTGGAAGCATGAAGCAGGTCCCTGGGATACAGGCACACAGGCAACATTCACAGAGGGTTTAGTGCAATGATGATGAGGATGACATGATGGCATGGACAAAAACGGTGTTGGCAGAAGTTTCTCCGGCCAGGGCTCCACATTGGATTGAACCTTCTTTTACGGAGGTGGAGAAGGGACCCCTTTGCTCCGATGTTTTTAACCCTCAAAAATGTTGAGGTGAAGAACAAAGCAGCCTAGCTCAGACATGCAGAACATGGCAAACTGACAGTTTCCAATTCCTGCCTGAACTCTAAGGGCATTTGAATATTTCCTGCAGACCCACTGCATTGGGTATTGTTATAGTTGCTGGAGGGGCAAACATAATGTAGACTTGTAATTGATGTCCCTGAACCGAAACCTAAGAAGACAGACCCTTACATGTCAAACTACCTAAATTAATACCAGAGGCCAGGTGCTCACCCCTGTAATCCCAGCACTTTGGGAGGCCGAGGCAAGTAGATCACCTAAGGTCAGGAGTTTGAGACCAGTCTGGCCAACATGGGAAACCCTGTTTCCCTACTAAAAATACCAAAGTTAGCAGGGTGCAGTTGTGCGTGCCTGTGATTCCAGATACTCGGGAGGCTGAGGCAGGAGAATCGCAGAGATTGCAGAGAACCGAGATGGCGCCACTGCACTCCAGCCTGGATGACAGAGTGATGAGACTTGGTCTCAAAATAAATAAATAAGTAAATTAATTAATTAATACCAGAGCTAAGGAAGCAATTATACTTTCCACTATGGTCTTAATGTATCCCCCTTAAAATTCGTATGTTGAAATCAAACCCCCAATGCAATAGTGTAAAGAGGTGGGGCTTTTTAGCAGCTGCTTAAATCATGAGGATGGAGTCCTCATGAATGGGATTAGTAGCCCTATAAAAGAGGATTGAGAAAGCTTGTTCACCCCTTCCACCATGTGAAGACACAGCAAGAAGGTGCCATCGCTGAAGCACAGATCATCCCTCCCTCACCAGACACTGAAACTGCTGGCACCTTCATCTTGGACTCCCAACTTCCAGAATGTAGGCAATAAATTTTATAACAATAAATAGAAATTTATTGTTTATAAACTATTTAGTCTATTTTGTTATAGCAGCTGGAATAGACTAAGACACTTGCCTACCAAGTATGAAGAAAAGTTTCACAAAGGAGATATTTGAACTGTGCCTTAAAATTGTCATGTGGAACAGTCCAATTTGAGGAAATGTCAGAAGGGAAGGCACTGAAATAAAAAAGTAGACCATGTCTAATGGGGTGGATGAGGACCCAAAGTGTCTTGGTCTATTGAGAGATAAGTTTCAGATATCAATATACTACTTTCCCAATTAAAAAAATTTATAGTTTATACTTGCTTACTGAATTCTTTGTACAGTTAAGAACTCTATTTCACTTTATAGATGAAATAAGGTGAAATAGATTTTTTTTCTTTCTTTTTTTTTTTGAGACGGAGTTTTTCTTGTTACCCAGGCTGGAATGCAATGGCACAATCTCAGCTCACTGCAACCTCCGCCTCCTGGATTCAAGCAATTCTCCTGCCTCAGCCTCCCAAGCAGCTGGGACTACAGGTGTGTGCCACCATGCCCAGCTAATTTTTGTATTTTTAGTAGAGAAGGGGTTTCATCATGTTGACCAGGATGGTCTTGATCTCTTGACCTCGTGATCCACTCGCCTCAGCCTCCCAAAGTGCTGGGATTATAGGCGTGAGCCACCATACCCAGCCGTGAAACAGATTTCTTAACTGTACAAAGATAAACTTCCCAGAACACACACACACACACACACACACACACACACACACACACACATGCATACATGTTTCTTTTTCCTTTGGTAATCACTAGGGTTTGGGTAGTGGAATGAATGGGACAGACAAGCTGGGGCCAGAAGGAGAGGAATGTAGGCAGTGTAATGAGGAGGGTACCCTGTAAACTGCTCGGGCTGGAGGCTGTGAGCCCCAGCAAGCAAGGTTTCCAGCAGGGTCAGGCAGAGACAGGCCCAAGGCTCCACATGACACTTCTTCCTGAAGCTTCACTTTAATTCACATTCATGTTCAAACAAATATGGTTATACTTGGAATTAAAACATGACATTTGCATCATTCTTAAAATAAAATATGAGATTTCAAACATATGTCAGGGGTGCAGAGTCTCCCTAGGCCATGCTCTCAGGCTCTGAGGTCTTTACTCTGCTTTTAGGAGTGTCTTGGTGGGAAGGCTGGAGGAGTTGTGCTGGGCAGTGGGAGAGTCAAAGGTTTTGGGGCAAAGGCAGAGAACGGAGGGTGGTCCCCACTATCTCTGTACCTGGGTCTGCTAGACTGAGAAGAGACAGGGATTCTTACTGGATTCTGGCCTTAACATATTAGCAAAGAATAAAGCCAAGAAGAAAGGAGAACGAATGGATGAAGGCTAGGGTCTTGTGTGCGAGTGCCTGGATGCCTTTATGAGGGCTTGTGTTCATAGCACTTAACTGGAAATAACAATAAAGAGAAGTTGCATATCACGAGGGATTTTCAGGTAGGTCAAATAGCCTCTAGCTGGCTACAGGTTTTCCTTTGTTTTCTTTTCTTTTCTTTTTTCAGGAGTTTATGGACTAATGGTGTATAAAGCCAGGTAGTGAGCAAGGAGAAAATCGCTTCCCATGGAAATAGTGATTCCTGATTCTGTTCTCCAACCCAGGCTGCAAAGGGCCATCTACCTACCATGAAAAGTAACAATAAAAACTGGATGTGTTTTTATGAAAAAAGAAAAGCAAAGCTCATTTCTTTTTTGTGCTCCCTGTGTAGCTTCAGGGGAACTCAGGAAAACGGCTGAGATACTGTGATGACTAGTAAACGTGGGGAAGAGGTGTGTGCTGCTTTCCGTATTGCAGCACTGCTCTCACTGTCCACCCCGGGGCCTGACTTAATTTGCTAGGTTGAGCCAGACAAAGTGTGTTTGCTGCAACAAACAAAGCAACGGCGCGCGCTCCCTCCCTTCACTGCTGCGCTGTCACATCCCCGAGAACTGCTGCAGTTGGCCACGGCGGGTGTTTATTGCTTGTTTTGCAGGGACAGGAAACTGGCAGCAGTAACTTTTAAGTGAAAATAGATAACCGTACACATAATGATGACAACCAGGCTGACCAGTGCAATGACAAGCTATACCTGGGGCAGCTCCTTCAACATTACCCAGCCTCTGGTGAAGGGTTGGCATCGGTAATCTGGGCTCCACGAGGTCATCAGAACGGGCACTGCCAGGTGTCTGTTGAGACACAACAGATGATTCAATCCTCGCCCAGTAAACGAAATATGACTGGACTACTGATAAACTGCAGGAAGAGAAAGAGCAGAGCGGTCCACGGAGTTAGTTTCCTTTAATAATACCTCAGGCCAACCTCATAGGAAAGAGAACACACTAACAGATAAAAAGGAACAAAAGTCTAAATAAATAGAAGAACAAGAGAGATTATGTTATTATTCGCTGAGTGACATCATTCTTTTTAAAAACCAAACTCTGTAGCTGCAAATAATTAGGAAAGGATATGAACAAATCAATGACCCTCTTCAATAAATACACTCACAATCTCGTTTTCACTAAAAACTATCTCCTTAAACTGCTTAGACTCCAGTAAAAGGTTTTACTTCAATGTTATTGTTAGCCATTCCTGATATACTGTTATCACATCATGATTTCAAGATCTCATAATTCTGTTGTATCATTGTACACGTCTATTATAATTATAGATACTATTGGAAATTAGAGATAAATCCTTATTATTGTAAACAATTTTTTGAAAAATAATTCTTCAGTAAAAATTGTTTTCATAAACATTATGCCATTTATTCTTCCAAATATTTCAGTGAGAAGGGATTATTGGCAAGTATCACTTTTCCCACTTTAAGTATTCAGGAGATTGTCACAACAATGTGATGAATTTGGCCGAGGTCACCCAGATGCTGGAGACTCAGTGAGAGTCATAGTCAGGCCTCCAACATGTGGTTTCCAGCCTCAGCGGACATTGTCGTGGGCAAGGGTTCCCGGAGGTGGGAGATCACAGGATGACTTGGGAGAAGCATCTCATCAAGTGACAGCTCCTCTTTTCTGCCAAATGGAGATCACAGCTTCTACACTACCTGCTCTGTGGCATGCGGCAGTTATGACAGGAAATCCAAAAATAGGAATGGAGGTGCTTTGTGTGCAGGTTTAAGGACTCCCAGCAGCAGATGCCCTCTGCACTGGGTAAGAACCAAAGTCAAGGGCAGACGCTGGGCATACCCACAGGTAACCCTGCCCTGGACCTTCCAAAGAGGCAAGATTGTAAGGCACAGTGTTTCCCTTCTTGCTGTCCTATCTGCTGCCTTGGACCACCAGGAACCGGGGAAAAGGGACACCACAGGTGAGGGCCACCAACCTCCTTTCCCACTGCTCCCCAGAGCAGAGGGGAGTCCTGGAGGGGAGCACGTGCCCTGGGCAGCTCTGCCTCCAGGCGTGGTTTCTTTCATATTCAGGAGGGTATGAAGGAAAGAAACAGAAGCACACACCCTTTCCTGAAAGGAAACAATTCTCCTCCTTGGTAAATGCAAGTGTCTGAAAACAATGACAAAACAAGCACTCATTTTGAGTAGCAATGATGCTTTTAAAGTGCTCACTGTTGCCAGGATCTGTTCTGAGTGCTCTGCGAACATTGGCTCTCATCCACCACATACCTGGGAGGTAGGTGCTGTGGTTATGCCCATTTATAGATAATAAGCCGGGGCACAGAGCCTTAAGAGGTTTTCTCTGGGCCCAGGGGTGTTTCCATTTGTCCATCTGCCTGTCTCTCTGTCTTGGCTCTCTCCTGCCTTCGCATCACCAGCCCTCGGAAATTCCTGGAGAGGTTGGCCAAGAGTTACCTGTGCCTGGGGAGGCAGGGAAATAATACACCCTAGACCCATGGATAGTGACAAAGGGACAAGTTTGGGGACAACATTGTTTTTAGTTTCCCTCTGCATAGGGTCTCCAGGTTAGGCAGCCCCCGTGACCCTGTCCTTGCTATAAGGGGGCCATATAAGGAGGGGGAAAGGAAGTATGAAGGCAGGACAAAGAGAAGCTCCCTCTCTTCAAAGTAGAAGACTCAGTTTCTAAGAAACAGCACTTCACTCTCTTACAGGAATTTAATGTCCCCCACAGGCTGGGCAGGGGCCTTCCACATGAACGACAGGTTTCTCTTCAGGGACTTGTCAGAGTGGGTGACTGCATCAGCCGCTTGAAAACAAGTCACCAGCTTGGAACGAGGAGGAATGAAAACAAAAGTGCCAGTGACTTGGTGATCAGACACTCTCCGAGCCTGAAGTAGAAATCCCATGAAATCACGACTGCTTCTCACCGTCACTGCAACGAAAAACACCCATTCACGATGAACATGTGTGACTTAGTTCCATTTATTGATTTTATACAGGCTTTTTCAAAACCGAAAGCTTAAGATTAGCCCCCAGAAAGTGAACAATTCATTAGGGCAGAAAAAAGTTGAAGTCCTATTTCACAACAAAATAAATTCCATTTGGATCAAAGGTATGCAAAAATGAGATTTAAAATAACTAGAAACTTTTTTATTTTTACACATATTGGATTTAGAAGTACCTCTCTGAGCAAAACCCAGCTGCCATAAAGGAAAAGTTGAGTAAAGTATGCTGCATTTTTTCAAATATGATTTTAGGTTAATTCAGAAGGATAGATGATTAAAAAAAAATTCTTTCCAAAAGAAAAGTATTTGCAAGACATAAAACAGACAAATACTCATAGTCATGGTGAATCTATAAAAAGATGACCCCCCCCTCAAAATAATGAAAGGATATGAACAGAAAATAAAACAAGCTCAGTAATAATTTTTTTTTTTTTTTTTGAGGAGTCTAGCTCTATCGCTAGGCTAGAGTGTATGGTGCGATCTTGGCTCACTGCAACCTCTGCCTCCCAGATTCAAGTGATTCTCCTGCCTCAGCCTCCTGAAACAGGGTTTCATCCCATTGGCCAGGATGGTCTGGATCTCTTAACCTCGTGATCCACCCAGCTCAGTCTCCTAAAGAGCTGGGATTACAGGCATCAGCTACCCTGCCCAGCAGCTCAGTAATAACTTTTAAAGCAATTATAAATGAGACATTATTTTATACTTTTATATTAGCAAATGTTATGTGTGGTTATAAACACAATCTTGATAAAACTAGGGCATTCATTCACTAGTGCTGGAACTATAAACCATCCAACTTTTTGTGGTGTAACCTGACAACATCTTCCACATTTAAAATGCACTTACCCCTCTGATACATGCTACATTATTGATTAACCCTGAAAACATAGTAAGTAAAATAAGCTGGACCCAAGATGACAAATATTGCATGATTCCACTTATGTGAGGTAACCAGAGGAGTCAAATTGACAGAGACAGAAAGATTTAAAGTTAGCTGGGGTTGGGGGTAGGGAAGGATGGCCAGTACAGAGTGCCCTCCTGGAATGATGGAAAAGTTCTGGTGGTGGATAGTGATGATGGTTGTACAACATTGTTAATGTACTTGATGCCACTGAGCTCTATATGGTTATCTTGGTAAATTTTAAGGTATATAGATAGATAGATAGATAGATAGATAGATAGATAGATAGATAGATAGATTTGCACAATAAAAGAAACACACCCTCCAAAAATCATTACTCTTGGATCTAGAAATTTTGCATCTAGGAAGTTTCCCCACTGACAAACTTGCACAAATAAATATGGCAAACACTAATGTCCAATACCCAATGGCAATTGTCCGCTTATTCCCTCCTAGCGGAACAGATGGTTCTGCTAACAGAACCCAGATGTTACATTCACATGGCAAGAGGAGACCACCTGTCTTCAGGGAAGCTAGGCCTCTCCCTTTCCCCAGGGGATGAACTGTGATTACACTAAAGCCAGTGTTGGTGATTCTGTTTCCTTTCACCAGATAGAATTCTCTGCAATGAGGCCAAATCTTCTGAGAGGGCAGCTAATGTCTAAGCATCAATCTTTTCATGTAAAACCTTTATTCCGCTGTCGTCCCAGTGTGAGGCCTAAAACCATGGCACTCATCCTAAAACTGCAATGTCAAAGGAATGAAAACTCAACTCACTGATGATGGCAGAGCAGGAAAATGGGAAAATCTTAGGATCTAGATGATGTCATTGAATGGTTTCCCCCAATACAGAAAATGTGCTTCCAGACTTAAGGGAGAAAATTAAATGCCTTTATTCGTTACATTTCAGTTAATTAGCTTTTCTGATACTTGGAGCTGAAACAATCCTGATGCATACAGTGAGCAAAGACATATGAATAAATATGTCCATCAAGGCTGGGTGCGGTGGCTCATGCCTATAATCCTAGCACGTTGGGAGGCCGAGGCAGGCAGATCACCTGAGGTTGGGAGTTTGAGACCAGCCTGACCAACATGGAGAAACCCCGTCTCTACTAAAATACAATAAATTAGCTGAACATGCAGGCACATGCATGTAATCCCAGCTACTTGGGAGGCTGAGGCAGGAGAATTGCTTGAACCCAAGTGGTGGTTGCAGTAAGCCGAGATGGTGCCATTGCACTCCAGACTGGGCAACAAGAGTGAAATCCATCTCAAAAAAAAAAAAAAAAAATGATATCTATCGAAACTGTTTATGAAAAAAACTTTTAAAAGTAAATACCCATAAATAAGAAACTAGTTAAATCAATCATGTGATCGCTAGATACTGGACATTTAGATTGTGTCTACTTAAGGTTATATTAATTTGAGATCTCACGCACATGTTTATATGTTTGGAAAGTTTCTGAAAAGAGGAGCAAGAAACTTAACAAGGTTACCTTCGGAGAATCAAACTGAGTGTTCAGAGCAAGAAGAAGGAAAAGCACTTTTAATTTTCTACCTTTTGATACTATTCTAACATTTTTAAAGTATGTAATATATTTAAACTGTTTAAAAAATTTTTTTGATCCTCCACTTATGTTCAATGGAATGAGTGGCGAAAATCAGGATCAGACCTTCATAAGTTTGCTAAATGCAGCTTGGTGTCCAGGATTATTTTATTTTCCATGCATTTGAACTTTTATTAATAAACATTTGAACAAAGATTTACAACTACTGAACATCAGGCCCTATGCTAGGTTTTGAGTATATATCTATGAACAGGATAACATGGTCCTTACGTTCAAGGAACTCACAGATCCCAGCAAGAAAACAGTATACTTACAACCTAAGTAAGTAACAATTGACTCTCATTGAATCCATGAGGCACTGTATCAAGTCATTTATTACACATAGTGAAATAGTTACTATGGTCAAGCAAATTAAAATATCCATCATCTCATCAAAGTGTGTTGATGGATGAATTTTAGTTTTAAATAATGAGAAAAAAGTATATTTCACACACATATATGATACATGAATATTGTTCATAGGAACTATATTTGTGTCTGTAACAAGATACATTTATATCTTATGATAAGGACAAAAATACTTTTCTTAATAATGATATTTGTACCTTCTGACACAGATCACAATCAATACAGAGATTTGTTATCATGTGGCTTTTAAGGCACAAATATTTTATGCTTATTTTTAACCAGATAATTGCTTCTTAACATTAAACCAGGACAGGCAAAGTGGCTGGTAACTATAATCCCAGCACTTTGGGAGGCCGAGTCAGGGGGTTCACCCGAGCCCAGTAGTTCGAGACTAGACTGGGAAACATACCAAGACCCTGTCTCTAAAAAAAAAAAATACAAAAAATTAGCAGGGCACAGTGGCACTTGCCTGTAGTCCAGGATTCTTGGGAGGCTGTGGTGGGAGGGTCACTTGAGCCCAGGAGTTCCAGACCAGCCTGGGCAACATTGTGAGACTCCATCTCTACAAAAAAAAAAAAAAAGGATTAAGCCAGACTTAGTCTAGGAAGCTTCTGATTGGGACAAACACAAACTGGATGATCCACGGGGTTCTGGGCTCCTCTGAGTCTCTCAAAGCCTCTCCGGTACATACCTGGAATCTTGTCACCTGGTACATAGGAAGACCTGCCAATGTGGATGCTGACGTGGTGAGTGTCCTGGGGCTGAGGCTGGGCTCGGATGTGCTTGGGCTGCATGTCCTCACAGGCCTTCATGCTGGCACCATGGGAAAAGGCAGACGAACAGGAAGCCAGGCAGACGGTGGTACAAGCCCAGCCCACAAGAGCAGCCTGCATCCTCATCCTGCCCTCTCCTGTATCATGACAAACAGTAGCTTCAGTCCAGATGCTATGTAGAAAAATGACATGAAGTCTTCTTGGGATGTGACTAACCTGAACCCCACACTGTCTCTGCACCTGAGATGCTTTTAATGCAGCATCCCAGGATTGCTGGTGCTCAAGGCCAAGATCAACAAGAAACGCCAGGCTATGGGAAGTGTTTCATTTCCAAACACCAAACACCTTTTAAAAACCTTCCATTCTTGTAATTTTCTCGTAAGGCTAGACTGTTTTTTTTTTTTTTTTAAAAAAAAGAGATTTTAATTAAAGAAATAAAATCAGAAAATGTTTGTATCCTAGTGTGAACTCCTTACGAGCTGACTGGTACCCAAGGGCAGTGTGAGCTCTGATACATCTTTGCTGCAGTAGACACTAAATACACCACTATGGTCAGGCGGCATGGCATGGGGGCGCTGGGCTGAATGTCTTATCTCTGCTACAACTGAAAATTACTGAGTTAAGTGCTACAAAAAATCTTCCAACTATCAATTATTTAGAGGTGACTGTTAAGTTGGCAATGCTTTGATATCTCTTTGCCCTTTTCTTGGCTGTTTTTAGCTATTTCACTACTTGTAGTAAAGAAGATGAGCAGAGAAAGAAATAATTTATTCTGTACCTTCTTAAACATACTGATAAAAATTTTGGCTCAGGAATAGAATACAATGATTGAATAAAATATTTTTGTTTGGCTGGGTGAAGTGGCTCATGCCTGTAATCCCAGCACTTTGGGAGGCTGAGGCAGGCAGATCACAAGGTCAAGAGATCGAGACCATCCTGGCCAACATAGTGAAACCCCATCTCTGCTAAAAACGCAAAAATTAGCTGGGTACGGTGGCTCATGCCTGTAATCCAGCTACTCAGGAGGCTGAGGAAGGAGAATTGCTTGAACTCAAGAGGCAGAGGTTGCAGTGAGCCAAGATCATGCCATTGTACTCCAGCCTGGTGACAGGGCAAGACTTCATCTCAAAAGAAAAAATTGTTTATTACCTCTAATTCCCAACAACAGGAAGAATTAAAATTTGGCAATGTAAAAGAAGTTGACAAAAATAAAATGAGAGACAGCAAAAAAAGCAGATGAAAATCTGCCTATATAAGTATTTAGGATTATCACAGGAATTTTTTTAACAGTTTTGTTTTTATTTTTTTTATAGTCCTACACACAGGCATTTTAGAAGTTTGGCTAATATTTTCACCTAAGGAAATATTACTAGCCCTCCCCTCTAGTAAAATGGTTTTCAAAGGTAAAAATAAAACCCTGAAAATGTAGTGAAACTAACTATAAAGACCATAGACTAAGGAAATAGTCCATAAACCAAATAGTTAAGTGCTCTCCACTGCCATTGTCTCTGCACACACCACCCCCTTTTACATTCACAGACTAAAAGAAAACAGGAATATGATCTACACTTGCAATTTCTTAGACTTAAGAGTTCTTCAGACAGTGCCTTTCTTTTCTAAGTTTGTTTTCTGTAAGGCACCAAAGTCACACATCTCCATACTTCAAGGAACAATTGCTACAGCTTCTCAGACACATTAAGAGATAATAAAGATGAACTGTAAAAGCAAATCCTCAGTCAAGGGGGCTCAGGGTTTTTCCCATTTTTTTTTCACAAGGGCCACATAGAAATGCCCCTTGAGGGATAGGGAGATTGGGGAGGGATGACATTAGGAGAAATGCCTAATGTAAGTGACGGGGAGATGGAGGCAGCAAACCACCACGGCACGTGTGTACCTATGTAACAATCCTGCAAGATCTGCACATGTACCCCAGAACTTAAAGTATAGTAAAAAAAAGAAAGAAAGAAAATGCCCCTCGAATGCCAGGCACAGTCATGTGCACCTATAGTTCCAGCTACTCAGGAGGCTGAGGCAGGAGGATCACTTGAATCCAGGAGGTCGAGGCTGCAGTGAGCTATGATCACATCACTACACTCCAACCTGGACAGCAGAGCAAGATCCTGTCTCTTAAAAGAAAAGAAAGAGGTTGGGCATGGTGGCTCACGCCTATAATCCCAAAACTTTGGGAGGCCAGGGTGGGTGGATCACCTGAGGTCAGGGGTTCAAGACCAGCCTGGCCAACATCCTGAAACCCTGTCTCTACCAAAAATAAAGAAAATTATCCAGGCATGGTGGTGTATGCCTGTAGTCCCAGCTACTCGGGATGCTGAGGCAGGGGAATGCCTTGAACCCGGGAGGTGGAAGTTGCAGTGAGCCAAGATCCCACCACTGCACTCCAGCCTGGGCGACAGAGAGAGACTCTACACAAAAAAAGAAGAAGAAGAAGAAATGAAAACGCTCCTCAAGCCCTTGCTGATGGCAAGTGGTCTTCTTTCCAAAGGCAGATCAGACACAGGTGCCTACAAGGCAAGGGGAATGATCACCTCGTCTCACAGATTGACCACAGCTCCACCTCACACCCTTCTGCCTTAGGTTCCACTGTGTCTTCTTTCCCACCAGCATCTTGTCCACCTGAACCCTGAAAAACATCCACTTAGAGCTGAGCACAGTGGCTCACACCTGTAATCCTAGCACTTCGGGAGGCCGAGGCAGCAGCATCACTTGAAGCCAGAAGTTCAAAACCAGCCTGCACATCATAGGGAGACCTGATCTCTACAAAAATTTAAAATAAATATATAAAAAGAAGACACCCACTTACCTAGGAAAATGCCTTCCTTCAGGCTTGATAGAATGGCTTCCCCACTCAGAGTTGCAAACACATCCCTTAAACAAAAGTATTTTCTTCTCTTTTCAGTTTTTCCTCTAATGGGGAGAATAACAGCTGTTACCACTAATCCTCAGCATCTCCAGGAACTGTCCCTCAGTGTCCAAATGCAGCCTAAATCGTATTAGTTTCTCCAAAACCACGCACACACACTCACACATGCTTTACAGTTGCATCATTGTTCAAGCCTGTGTGAAGAACTAGAAAGAACTGGAACTGGTTTTGCACAGGACTAGCATTGACATCCTTGGCAGAAGCTGGATGCCTCCATCTTGATCTCTCTGCCAAGGGGAGAATGTTTGAATGAAATGCATCTCAGCCTTCTTGGCTTCTTGAGTCAGTGTGGACTGAAGTTATTTTGGTGAAGCAGAATTGACACGTTAGCCCAAGAGCAACGTTTGATACAAAAAAATAATACATGGCATATGCACCTCCCATATCAACTGCACTAAAGCTGGAGTTCACATTTGCATGCATCTAAGACTCCACTGAGACACCTGTTAACACCACAGAGCCTATAGAACAGTGGTCCTCAAAGTGTGGTCCCCAGCATGCGGCACCAGCATCACCTAGAAGCTTGCAACAGTGACAGTGAAGATAAAGAAAGAGGAATAAACTCAGGAGATCAGGTGGAGGGAGACTTAGTAGGATTTGGTGGCTGATTGAATGCAGGGTATCCAAGAGAGAATCCTAAGATTGATAGTGCAGGGTGATGTGGAGCTGGGGGCTCCAGAGAGAGCAATGTTCTGACTGTTAGGCCTTGTCTCCACTCCAGAAAAACCTAAAGATATGAATGATTGAATAGGTGAGGCACGGGCTTAGAGACCAGGTTGCTAACCCTTCCCTTAAAAGTGTAAATGAGACTATCTATCCTATAAACACCAAGGGAAGTTGGCCTTCCTTGGCCTGGGACTCCAGTAGTCCTCACACGCAGAATAAAATCAAACAAATTCAATCTGGTTTTGCCAAGCCTCTATCCCACTAGGATAGAGGCAATCTCAACCTTCCACTAAGTCATGAGAAATTCTGGGAGGCCTAGAGAAATCAGAGTATGGGCCTTCCATGGCTGCTGTTATGATAGTTTTCTGAGCTCATGTACTCACTAGAAGGCTGTTACTTTGAAGGCTTCTAAGCAAAAAAGGGGATCAGGGCTTTGCAAGGCTCTGGTCTGGGTGCTGAGAGCTCAGCCTTCCAGGTGCACCCTGTGGCTTTTCTCTGCTGAGGTTCTCCCCGCCCCCTCCACTGGGTCCTGACACAGACCTCTGCTGCTAGCAGGAGAGTGGGTAACCTCTTCTCCACTCCCTTCCACTCCTGTCCCAGTCTTAGAGACAAAAGTGTCCCTCCTTTCCTTTTTTTTTTACCCTCACCTTGTTAATCTGGGCCACCTGACATAATCCACCTACCTAGAGGTCCCCCAATCCCCCTGCTTTTGCCCTGAAACACAAACTCCCTGGACACAGGGATTCTCAAAAGGCCCACCTACCAATTAGAATGAGGAGGGAGGTGCAAAGGTAGAGAGAGCATACCTACATGGCTCAATAAATGATCCTGCCATGTGCTCATGTAATGTATTTCTTGTAGGAAACCAAGAGGACACCTTATCCTAGACATGGCCTTATCCTGCCTGCCACACCTAGCGCCTCTGCTGAGCTGGCAACATATCTTACGCCACTCTCCCCACAAAGCTGATTGTACCAGGGCAGGCACTTATCACTGGGGAGGGACCTGCTGACACAGGGCTGAGCCAGAAACTCTCTCTGGGAATCTAACCAAGAACACACCGAAGGCTACTCTATACCAGTGCTGGCCAATAGAAATAGACTGCAAGCCAGACATGTAATTTAAAAATTTCTATGCGAGGTGCATGGCTCACTCCTATAATCCCAGCACTTTGGGACCCCAAGATGGGCAGATCACCTGAAGTCACAAGTTCAAGACCAGCTTGGCCAACATGGTGAAAACCCACCTCTACCAAAAAATACGAAACTTAGCCAGGCATCATGGCACATGCCTGTAGTTCCAGCTACTTGGGAGGCTAAGGCAGGAGAATTGCTTGAACCTGGAAGGTGGAGGTTGCGGTGAGCTGAGATCATGCTGCTGCATTCTAGCCTGGGTGACAGAGTGAGCTTGTTTCAAAAAAAAAAAAAATTCTACTGTCTTATTTTTAAAGAACATGAAAAGGAACAAATGGTATTTGTTTTAATAATAAATTTAGTCAACTCAATATATTGAAAACATTATTTCACATGCAAACAGCATATAAAAAATTATTAGTGAGGTATTTTACATTCTTTTTTTTTTCCACAGTAAGTCTTTGCTATCCAGTGGTATTTTACACTTAACAGCATGTCTAAATTCAGACTAGCCACACCTCAAGTGCTCAGGAGCCACATGTGGTAAGCTGCTACCATATTTATCAGTGTAGGTGTATATGAAGGAAGGTGGTTGAGCCACAGGTTCAACCACAGGTTGGCCTGAGGGCCATATTTTACCACATGCAGGATGCGTAAGAGCCATTGAGGGGATACAATGGCAATTAAACATAGGAGCGTATTTACACATTGCTTGCATA